CGGAATTGCTTGCCTGTCCTTGGTCCTGTCCCTTCCCACATGTGCTTTAGCATTCTAAAGCCCCGTCTACATCTACACAAATTTTGCTGCAATTTTCATAGAGACTATGGCCATAAACATTGTATCTCTGTGTCTATGGAATATTCCTTGGATCTCTTCCATTGGTCTTTTGTCGCATTCAGCCTAGAGACAGTTGTTGTGGAAATAGTATTCTCCTTCCTGGTTTGCTTTTCATTTGTTTGCAATTGCTCTATAGAAACAGGATTGATATTTGTGTATTGATCTTGTTTCCTACAACTTTACTGCACTCACTGGTTGGTTCTGAGTTTTTCTGTAGGATTCTCTGCTTGGGCAGGCATGTTGTTTCCAAGTAGAAACTGCTTCATTTCCTCCCTTCCAATCTGCACTTGCCACCTCCTTCTTTTACTGAATGCCAGGCCCAATACTGTGCAGCCTTGCTGACTCCTGGCCTTAGCAGGGCCATCAACTTCTTGTCCTCTTCTTTAGCCTATTGATGGGTAGATAATGTTGACCGACTTTTTGCACATTGAACTGGCCTTGCACACTTGAATAGATCCCCCTGCTTATGGTGTAGCAATTTTTTTGGTACCAGTACTGGGGCTTGAACTCAGGGCCCAGGCACCATCCCTTAGCTTTTTTGCTCAAGACTGGCACTCTACCACTTCAGCCACAACTCCACTTTCAACTTTTTGATGGCTAATTGGAGATGAGTCTCACAGACTTTCCTGCCTGGGCTGACTTCGATTGAGTCTTAGCCTCTTGAGTAGCCAGGATTACAGGTACAAGCCGCTAGCACAAGTTGCATTCTTTTGTATATATTACTAAATTCAATTTTGGTAATATTTGTTGAGGACTGGTCTATACTTTCTACTCTATGAGGCTGTTTGTAAGGGGGGCATGTGTGTACATGTGCATGTGAGTGTGTGCTGTATGTTGTATGTGACTTTCCATCAGTGTGTGTGTGTGTGTGTGTGTGTGTGTGTGTGTGTGTGTCTGGTTGCATTGTGGGGGGTATATGCAGAGTATAAAAGTGAGGCACAAACAGGTGTCTGCTGTCTGTGAATGGTGTCTGCTGTCTTTTGTTAGTACCCAGTGAGGATGCATTGCCCCTCAGACTTCCTGAAAAATCTGCAGAAACTGGAATGAACTCTTGGTTTGATCTTCAGCAGGACCCTCTGGGTTGCAGTCAGCTATCTAGCTTGCAGTAGGCTTCATCAGTGGCTGTGGGCATCTGTCCATCCTGGCTGAGGTGTGGCAGTTTGTGGCCTTCAGGAGTTGGTCCCCTCCTCCTGCACTATCAGACCTTGGAACGCAAAGCTTTGCTGTGTGCCCGCGTGGAGGAGGCCTCCCCGGTCTGCTCTGCTTCTTCCTGTGTTTCTAGAATTGTCATTTTCGTTGGATCTTTGTCCATTTTGTGGCTGGCTTTCAGGTGACTGGCTTTGGTTCAGTAGCTTGTTTTCAGGGTGTTTCTTTGTTTTTCTCTTACTGCAGTCCTCTGCCTCAGTTCAGGAGCCTTGTTTCTGCACCTAGGTTATTCATTTTCCTCCAAGCACTGCCATGGATGCACCCATATCTTGTGTTTTTCTGCTGGTGTTTCTCTGTCCCCACCCCAGACTTGCCCACTTCTTCAAGAAGCCGGGGGCCATTTCTGTTCATCTACCAAAACCATATCACATGTAAAAAGTATTAAAATAATTCCCCCAGGTCTTAAAGTAATTAGATGTACATATCCTGGATGATTTATTATTTTAGATTTTCTCTTTTGAATTTGCATTTCAAGCTTCATATGGATTTGATCTCTAGGGGCCTCCTCTGTGGAGTCTCTTCATCTATGGGATTTTGTCCAGGGCCCTTGGGGAGGGCACCTTGTTCTTAACAGGACCCTCTCCCCAGTTCTGCTTCTGCCCACCTCACACCTGCAGGTAATGGGCAGTGGAATGGCATGGAACATCTCCTGTACGCTCTCCAGGGGTCTCTGTTGGCCTCTGGCCATTCTCCCACCCACCCAGAGCCTCTTTACCCCAACAACATGGTGAAGAGTGTTGTAGACCCTAGTAGGGCATCACTGGGTTTCAGGATGGCAAGCCTGGCATGAAAGGACCTGAGCCCTGGGCACTGCAAGGATTCATGTCCAGTGTGTCCTATGCCCACAGCCCTTCTGTGTTGCTCCACTGAGTACTGTGGCATCCAGACCTGAGGCTTGGGACCATGGCTGCTGTCAGGGGCCCAGGGAGACCTTGTGTGCGATCCAAGGAGCCCGGGGAGACCCTGTCCACTGTCAGAGGGGCCTGGAGGACACCCTGCCCTCTGTCTGAGGGGCCCGGCGGACACCCTACCCGTTGTCCGAGGGGCCGGGGAAACTCTGTATGCTGTCAGAGCAGTCAAGTGCAGGCCTGCGACTTGGTTAAGGCTGGGTTGGCTCATCTCCCCCAGGCACCCACCGGTCGCATAGCTGCTTGTTCCTCACAGACACAGAGGGAGAAAAAGCCAGAGACGGAGCACGCAGGCAGCCCATAAATATTTCTAGCCACAGCCAACACGTCTTACTGGGCAATTTGCTTTTTAAAAAATTGTGCTCTAATTTTAAGTGAACAGCCCCTAATTATGGTGATTTACAAGGCACCTGGGGGCCGGGTGGCATTTGAACATGGCAGAGCCAGAGCAGAGATTGATCGGCAGGACATAATTCAATCTGAACATTTTGATAAGCCCCTGGCTGCTTCCCAAGTGGGTCTGGAGGGGGGGGCCAGCCCCCTGCCAGTGTGAAGTAGGGTACACTGGGGAAATCGAGTCAGGAGACATGGTCTGAGGGCCTCAGGGGAGCTGGGGCAGGCTGTGCCTTGGGCCGACAGGGCAGGAGACAGGCACACGGGGTGGGCACAGTGGGCAGAGGCTGGTGGGCTGCAGTCAGCTCTGCGGGGGCTTCTGGTCCCTGCCTGTCCATTACAAGCTGATACAGAGCTGACAACTGAGAAATTACCAGGATCTGGTGGGGGGGGTGGGGAGGGTAGCACCCAGAGGGACTCCCTGAATTCTTAGGGGAGAAGGGGCTCTAGATACCCCTCCCCCTGCTACTCTGCTTCCCCAGCAGCTGCTGCTGCCGGCCGCTGACATTTAGGGGGAAACGCTGAGAGTCAAGAGCAGAAGGCAGAAATGAAGGGATTTTCTTGGGAAAAGGTCAGAGTGGTTTCTCTTATTTTTGTTTAAAAATGGTTTGTGTTGAACTATGACAAGTCTAAATGTATTAATGGGCCGCGAGAACAGGCTGGGGGTCAGCTTGAGTGAGAAAACAGGAAAATACAGGTAACAAGCCAGACAGGTTAGACAGGGGAGCCGCACACACATTGATGGCCATGCAGCAGGAGTGTCGGGGGGGGGGGGGCAATGAGCCAGGTAATTCAGGGGTTCTCCAGGGACACCAAGGTCTCCCAGGCAGCCCCTTCTGGGTTAGCTCTTCACACTCCCAGCTTGTGGTTGGCATGGGCATCTTGTTAGCTTTTTGCTCAGCCTGGCTTGGAACCATCCTCCTCCCAATCTTCTTCTGAGTATCTTCAACTGCAGGCCTGCACCACCCTGCCTGGCCCACATTGGTGTTTTTGTTTGGTTTTGGTTTTGGTTTGATTTGGGTTTTTTTTTTTGCCAGTCCTAGGGCTTAAACTCAGGGTCTGGGCTCTGTTCCTGAGCCTCTCTGTGCTCAAGGCTAGCATTCTACCCCTTGAGCCACAGAACCACTTTTAGCTTTTTCTGAGTAGTTTTTTGGAGATAAGAGTCTCACGGACTTTGCTGCCCCGGCTGGCTTCGAATCATGATCCTCAGATCTCAGCCTCCTGAGTAGCTAGGATTACAGGCGTGAGCCACCAGAGCCCGGCTTACATTTGTGGGTTGTTTCTTTTTTTGGTGGCCATCCTAGTGGGTGTGATACTTAGTCCCTGTGGTGTGAGTTACGTCCCCTGTGCTTCATTCTGTTAAGCATCTTTGCCTTTGCCGATGACCACTTCTTCGGTGCATTCCAGCCATCTGTCCAGCTCCTCATTGACCTCTTTGACCTGAGAGATGGACTGGGTACCAACCATCAGTCAGACCTGTGTTAAGAGGGGAGCTTGGGTTGGTTTCTGTGCCCTCTGCCTGTTTGGCTGGAGCTCAGCTGCTTCTCCTGGCCGCCATGGACAACCCTTCCTTCACCTTGCCCATCCTGGGCCAGTGTAGCCTGGGTGGCACTGACTGGCAAGTGAAACCCCAGAACAGGTTGCAGTGAGGTGTGGAGGGGTGTCAGTGAGCGCTGCTATTCTGCCCAAACGTGCCAGTACCTTTGCCAACCTCAGGCCTCTGGGCCTTGGTTTCCCCATTGATACCCACAGTCCTTCCCCACATCCACTCCACAGCTCAGCCTGGCACTTGGGCCTAGCCTAGAGCTGCCCTGGTTATCAGGTGACGGACCCTCCCTGCCCCCTCAGTCATAATTACAGATTCTAGCACCAAACTTTCATTGGGTCATCCTGGACTGTGTGGCATCCCCCTCCCAGCCCCCTGACATCTGGGACTCAGTGCCTTGGCCACCCCAACAGGGAAACTGAGTCTGAGAGGGGCTGCTCATTGAGCAGCCTGGAAGATGCTCCAGGTTTGTCCCCCCATGGGGGGACCCCAGCCCCAGCAGAAGGGCACAGCCAGGCAAAGTGCAGATGATGAGCTTGGGGAATGGCAGTAGGGTTCCCGGGCTGGGGAGGGTGCCTGGGCTCCCCGGTATCCCTGCTCAGGAGGAGGAGCAATGACCGGGAGGCCTCATCTCTCCACCCACCTGTGGTACCTGGGGCATCTCAAAGGCCAGCTGCCCAGGGTGAATTCTCAGTCCCCTGGACTGGTGACTGGATGGAGGCAGGCTGGGTCACCTCCCCCTTCCCTTTCATGGGGGTTGTGTGGGGAGGGAGGGCAGAAGACCCCCACTGGCCACTGCTGACTGCCCTGCTGTTTCCCACCCACAGGCCTCGGGACCCTCGGGCTGCAAGATGCAGCTGCTGGAAACGGAGTTCTCACGCTCAGTGCCTGAGCTCATTGAATTGCACCTGCTACGCCAGGACAGCATCCCAGCCTTCCTCAGCGCCCTCACCCTCGAGCTCTTCAGCCGCCAGACCACAGCCTAGCCCCGCACCAGCCACCGCGGCAGCCATCCCAGGCTAGCCCTGTCGAACAGCTCTGTCGGCAGGGGAGCAGCCAGAGCCCCCACATCATCCCTTCTCATCTCTGAGCCCTATCTGGACCTCCCTGTGTACTCACCGAGCAGTCTCGCCCTGTGCGCCGCTTCCTCTGGCATGTCCCCTGCCCACACTGGTACTGTACAGTTCCCGTCTGCCCGGGCCCCAGTGGGGATGCTGTGGACACAAGTTGAGGATCCTGGCCTGGGGAAATAAAGTTTCCTCTCCAGTGCCCTCATCTGACTCTGTGCATCTCCTGCCCCAGGGGTGCCTGGTCCCCAGTGGATATGCCCACATGTAACCCCAACCCGCTGGGTTCCGCACCAACTCCTAGGAGCCTAGCCCATGTCAGGTCTCTACTACGGACCGCTGTTTGGTCTCAGGTAGGCAGCTGGCCCTCTCTGCGCCTCCTTCCTCACCTGTAACCCCAAGGACATGCATGTCTGGACAGACCAAGAATAAAGGTCCCCACGTTCGTGCCCTGGCATGCATGGACCAACCTGCCACTTGGGTTTGTCACACCCACAGCTGGCTTGTAAGAGCACCATGTAGGGTCCTGGCCAGCCCCAGGCCAGAGGAAGTTTGGTCATAGCACATCCCCGGCTGCCACCAGCTCCTTAGTGAGCGCCCAATGCTAAATGGTTCCTAAGCCACTAATGACTAATTTTAAAGGATTAGTGCTGGAGTGATAAACTGTAATTGCCAGGATGTAACAGGATTTACTGAGCTGGGGCCTCCTTCAGCTCCCCCACAGGCAGGGCAGGGCCACCTGCTGGGCCTCCCAGAGCCCCAGGCCCTTCCATTGGGCCTGGGCCCGGGGCAGCCAGCACAGGATGTTAGCAGAGTTCCTCACCAACTCTTCCTTCACGGTCTGGCATGAGCCCCCAGAAGGGCACAGGTCCAGGTTTTCCCCACTCCCACTCCACCTGTGTGGAGGGGGTGGCCAGGCTGCCCAGAGGCAGCCAGTGCAGGTCTGCACAGCTCACACCTACAAACTCTGGCCCTGTGCTTCCCCGGTTCCATGTCTCTCCCGCCTGGCCTGGCCTGCAGGTTGGGTTAACTCAAGTCTCCAAGCCCAGATCAGCAAGGCAGGGGATCCGCTGCCCACTGTCACATTCGGTCTACATTGGGCCTGGACTTAAACCCAGCTCTCCCGGCTACAAATTCAGCCCATCGCTACCCTAGCTCTGAATCAAACAGGACCCATTTTCCTTCTGTGTAACTGTCATCAAATGGGCACCGGTGAGGCAGGGCCTTCATGCTGAGACAGCCTGGGCGGGGCGGCTCAGAGCCCAGTGGTATAGCTTCAAGGCCATGAACTCACAAATGTGTTCCACATGTGTGCACTCATGAGCACACAGACATATGTGCATGAGTTCTACATGTATGCATGCAAGGCTCGTGTGTTGGGCTTCACATGTGTGTGGCTTGTGCTTGCACACATGTGAGCACGCATACCTGTACTGAGTTGCTGTATACACTGGTATGTGGTTATGTGTGCAAGCACGAGCCCATGTCATTACACACATGTGCTACTTGAATTTCTGCTTCGGGTCTAGAGAGGGTGAGGGCCTGGCCTGAAGTCACACAGCAGAAGAGGACCCAAGAGGCGGCACTGAAACCCAGTCTGTGTGACCATACTCCACACCTGCCAGCTCTTACACTTTACATTTTCTCTCCTTTCTTTGCCTTATCTTCCACTGCACAGTTCTAACTTTTAACTTAAAACCAAACAAATAAAGCTCTGATAATACAAGGGAAACATAGAGTAAAAAGGGAAAAACTCCTCCTCTGGCGGCATTCCAAGCCTTCCCGCCTGTGGGTGGACTTGCACACCTTACATGCGTGCGTGCGAAGTGCCTGGCTTTGTTTCCTCGGAGCGTGTGTGTGGTTTTTAAAATAACTGTGTTTTGTTCTGCAGCTCGGTTTTTCTCGCTTAACAATATGTCTTGGAAATGTGCCAGGCAGGCATCGCTGTGGGTTTCGTGGGGCTGTGTTACTGTATCCAGAACACTCGGGGCGTGGAGCAGGAAGGCGGGGGGACCAGCCCTCCCCTGACGGCAAAGCCGCCACACTCTGCACGCTGTAGACTTCTCCAATCCTAATGCTATTTTTAAAAGTTGACAAACTCAAGTTCTAGGATCACATTCTGGCTCACACTTTGGTGTGGGTCTGCCCTACCCCTGGGCCCATGACGGAAGGTGAAGTATGGTCAGTGTGTGATCCTGCTCCAATCTGACACTCTTACAAGATCAGGACATGGCTGTGTGCAGGCTCACACCTGTAATCCTCAATACTTGGGAGGTTGAGATCTGAGGCATGTGGCTCAAAGCCAGCCTGGGTAGAAAAATCAATGAGACACATCTCCAGTTAACCAGTAAAAAGCTGGAAGTGGAGCTGTGGCTCAAATGGTAGAGTGCCAGCCCACCTTGAGCAGAAAGGCAATTATATCTATAAACCATGAAGAGAGGCCATCTTCCACACCTTCTTGGTTTTTTGGGTGGTACTGGAGGTTGATCCCAGGGCCTCACACTTGCTAGATACGCACTCTACCACTTGAGCCATGCCCTTAATCCTTGCACTCTTAGTTTGTTTTTCATATAGACTATGACTAACTTTTTATCCCTGGTACAGGCCTCAGACTAAGATCCTTCTACTTCTGCCTCCTGAATAACTGGGATTACAGGTGTGTGCTGCCACGCCATCTAGGTACTACACCTTGGCATCACACTGCCAGCCTCAGGAACTGGGAGAATATAAATGAATGTTTATTGAAACCTCCTGGTAGTGGGTTCTGCTACCATGGCCAAGCCAGCTGGCCTTTCTCACTATCTGGACACATAATTTGCAATTATGCAGGGTTGGGGCTATCACCAGCCAATAAGAAAAAGCATCAGTTACCAAATTTGAGTTGCAGCCTAGAACAAAATAATAATTTGCAATGTTGTGTATATACTACAGTATACAGTAACTATTTTTTCCCCCAGTCAAGCGGCCTGGGCTCTGTCCCTGAGCATCTTTGTGCTCAAGTTTAGCCCTCTACTACTTGAGCCACAGCACCACATCTAGCTTTTTCTGAGTAGTGTATTGGAGATAAGAGTTTCATGGACTTTCCTGCCCAGGCTGGCTTCAAATCATGATCCTCAGATCTCAGCCTCCTGAGTAGCTAGGATTACAGGTGTGAGCCACTGGTTCCCGGCTTTGCAGTGACATATTTATAGCCTGTATGCTATGTTCTCACCGGTAATCCCAACAGTCAGCAGGCTGAGCAAGAGGAGTTTGAGTACAGGCTAGCCTTGGCAACCAAGTAAAGCTCTAGCTCAAAAGAAACATTTTTAAAAGAGAAAGAAATAACCAAGCCACATACGTAATTTCAGACTTTTTAATAGCCCCATTAAAAGCTGGTGAAGTGATTGGAAAGAATTTTTGCTGGTACTGGGGTTTGAATTCAGGGCCTTGTGCTTGCTAGGCAGGGCTCTGACACTTGAGCTATGCCTCCAGTCTGTTGAAATTAATTTTCACATTTTATATAATCCAGTAGATCCAAAATGTTACTCTTCCAACATGTTAATCGGAGGTAATAAAATACAATCGTTTTTGGTTCTGAGTCTTAGAAATCATTGTGTCCTTTCTACTTTCAGCTCACCTCAGTTTTCGCCAGCCATATTGAGGTGCTGAGGGGGTCCCTGAAAAAGGGGCACAATTTTGTCCTCTGCAAGGCTCCTCAGCTGCCGGGTCATTCCATGTTGCCATATTCACATGGTGATGTGTTATTAAGAAATAATCAGCCCTCACATTGAAGTGGGGTCTCTGCAGGTCTCCTTGTAACAACCAGACCTGATGCCCCATGGGGTTGAGAAACACAGGGAAGCAGCCAGCAGCTGCCACCACAGACCAGCACGGGACCCAGGGGTACAGCCAGGTGCTTGACCCCCTCAGCCTTCCCCCACCCTGCCCCGGGGTGTCCCCTCCCAGCCCAGCACACCCTGCCTGGGTGTCAGCACCTGGGTCCCATGCTGGCTTGTCCCAACCTGCTGGTGACTGTGGCCAGGTCTCTTCCCTCCTGGATGTCTGTCGTGGAGGGGGAAATGGGCTTATAGTCAGACCCGTGGGGTAGGGGAGGGAGCAATAGCACCCCGGGGTCAGAGTGCGACCCGCACAGTTAGCTACCAACAGACCCCAGACTTTTTTTCCTTTTTTTTTTTTTAACTTAAAAGTGGAAATTAAATTTCATACCAGGTTTACAAGCTGTTAACGAAATTCACTAATCAAACCCCAAACACCAGGTCCTTGAAAATGAGAATTAAAAAGGTCTATATTTGCATATTCATGGCTTTAATAGGGTTCAGAAGGTATATTTGCAGCTGATGAGAAGTATTAATTAAATCTCATTTGCATTGGTGGGGCCGCTTAACCCTCTCGGAGCTGCTGGTGCTCCCAGGGCAGGGCTGGGATGCACGGCCTCCTGGCCACCTCGCCATCTCCCTGCCCCACAGCCACAAACCCTGGGCACTGGGGAGCCAGGAGCACCCCCACCTCCCGGTCCTGTGACCAGCTGCAGCCAGTATGACTTCAGCCTTGAAAACCAACATTCAACCAGGTGCAGAGCCCCACACCTGAAAGTCTATAATCTGGAGGCAGAGATTGGAACGATGGAGGATCAAGGCCACCCTGAGCCAAAAGTTCCTGAGAGGAAGTGGGGATGTGTCTCAAGTGCTAGAGTGCCAGCCTTAAGTGAAAAAGCTAAATAAGAGTTCAAGCCAGGCATCGGTGGCACATGCCTGTAATCCTAGTTACTCAGGAGGCTGAGATCTGAGGAGTGTGGTTCAAAGCCAGACCTGGCAGGAAAGGCCATGAGGCTCTTATCCAATAAACCACTCAGAAAACCAGAAGTGGCACTGGGGCTCAAGTGATAGAGGGCTAGCCTTGAGCTGAAGAGCTCAGGGACAGCTCCCAGGCCCAGAGTTTAAGCCCCATGACCAACAAAAGAAAAAAAAAGTTCAAGTCCCCAGTATTGACCAAAAAAAAAAAAATCTTGAGACCTCGTCTCAAAAAGTAGAGCGGAGGGGCTGGGAAGGTGGCTCAGTGGTAGAGCGTTTGCCCTGCATGCATGAGGCCCTGGGTTCAATTCCTCAGCACCACATAAGCAAAAAAAAGCTGGAAGTGGCGCTGTGGCTCAAGTGGTAGAGCGCTAGCCTTGAGCTGGAGAGCTGAGGGACAGTGTCCAGG